CACGCATTCTTCAGTTATTGAATAAAGTTAATATCACTATGTATTTATATGATCATTGAACTTGGCATTTTGGGACTTATGCCACCCAAGAGCAGTGTAAACCACATCATTAGTGAAAATTTGAAGCTGATCAGATGAATCATTCTCCGGTTATGTCATGTAATCGAACAATTTAAGAGTTTTTACTATTTCTCACATTATGTATTAAGGACCAGGTTCTTGATGTGAGAAATTGCGTAATCGCTTGGAATTTAACTATTTTTTCACAGTTGTTTGCATATTGTGATATCACCTGTTTACTGTGATCTTATTGCACTGCCATATATCTTCAGGGCTTGCACATACACCCCTTCATCTTCTTTTCTGGGCACTGCCATGTATTCACTGTCTGTTAATGTGATTTCATTCCTCTGCATCTAGATTGGTCCCGTTTTTAAACCCTTAACTCCACTGCCAGTTTGACTGACTCTTTGATGCATCGTCTCTGGCCAACTCCTTGCATGCTGCCTTTATCCATCCTGTAATTTTAAAGCATCCCTGATTCCAATGACAAATGCTGAATTTGGGGCTCTGGTCCTGTAGCAGATCATAGAAAGCCATCTGCAACACTCAGAAATGGTTTACTTAGCATAACTAAGTTAAATCCCTGTTTCACTTTAAGGTTTCTTCTTTGGGTTATACAGCCTCTCTTCACTTAACAACGGAGTTCTGTTCCTAAGACCACATCGGTAAACGAGTTCGTTGGTAAGTGAAGAGCATGCTATAATGATAACTGGTTTGTGTCGACCATCTCTGATATTGTTTTAATGTCACCTTTGCAACATTTATAACATTTCTGATATATTTTTAAATGTCTATACAGTAGTGTACTGTATATTGTAATAAACAGAATTGAGGAAATCAGCTCTAATATACATTATTTAAGCATGCACACTGGTCAGAGAGCCTGTCCTAAGTCCGAGTCGTCGGTAAACGAATACCTCGTGAGGCGAGGAGAGTGAGGAGAGGCTGTACAGTCTCTGGTGAGGGGAAATAAGACAAATTACTTGAAGATAAGTGCTGTCTGATGTGGAAAGTCCAGCCACTCACGTCTGGGTTTATCAGACTAACATAAACAACAATGGATAAATGGACTGAATATGATACTACACTACTTGCAAAATCTGAAGTAGATGCTATAAAGGTAGTGTTGGCACTATGTATGTGAGCTACACTAAGCCATCATTCTTACAAGAGACTTACAGTATAAAGAACAAAAAAGACATAATACCGTGACTGGAACAATACACAAATAATCCGTACATAGGAGAGAGGAGCTTATTATGAAGTTTCAGTTTGACTTGAACCATTTACAGAGACACTTATAGACTGGAATACTGCTGTACACTAACGGCCCCCTTCAAGGCTGGAGACATTGCAGACCTGGAGAGCATACAAAGAACTTTCATGGCACACAAGTATAAGGCACCTAAATTACTGGGAACAGTTGAAGGTCCTTGATCTGTATTCTCTGGAATGCAGGTGAGAGAGATACATGATAATATACACTTCGAAGGTCCTGGAGGGATTGGTACCAATCCTGCACATGAAAATCACTCCATGTGAAAGCAAAAGACTCGGCAGGAGATGTAACATTCCCCCGATGAAAAGCAGGGGTGCCACTAGTACATTGAGAGGCAATACAACAAGTGCCCAGGGTCCAAGGCTGTTCAACTGCCTCCCAGCATACATATGGTTTGTACATCAGTTTGTATGCAGCCAGCAGTAACAGCCTGGTTGATCAGACCCTGATCCACCATGAGGCCTGCCCTCAGACCAAGCTACGGGGGCGTTGACCCCTGAAACCCTCTCCAGGTAAACTCCAGGTAGAATGCCAGTTTTTAGAAATTAGACGCCATCTTGTCACAGGAGGCTGATGGCAAGCTGCACACATTAACTTATGCTAGTAGAAGGTTCAATGGATCAGAAAAAAATATGAAGAACTATGGTGACATTAAAAAGACTATCTGTTAAAAACTATATTAAATATCCTCAGTGACAATCACTCTGAACATTAACAAAGCAAAACTGGGTGTTGTGGAACAGAGATGAGATCTTGATCTACATAAGTTTGACTTTTAAGTAGAACACTGGGTTGGCAAAGCAGCTGGAAACTGATAGCCTGTCTTGCAAAGCAGATTAACAGGAATCTGTGCTGGAGAATTTCTTCAATTTGGTGGACACTTTTACTCTAGATGCTTTAGAGACAGTGACAGGTGATAATGAAGAATGGAAAGAAATTCTGCAAGATTTCAATACACGAAAGTCAGCAGGAATTAGAGCGATTGACCTGCCTTTTTCGCCTTTCCAAAGAAAGAATGGAACTGCTGCAGCTTGAAGACATTATGAAGAAGTGCATAAAAAGTATCCAAAGGTAACTAATGAAGAAAGAGAAAGAAGAGAGATTCAGGATTTTAAGCCAAAAATTGGGATTCAGTTGTTTGTGGAAGCAGAGAAGTAAGCTGACCAATGCCCAAATCTCTCATTTTGCTCATTCATGCTTTTGAAAGATTAGATTTAGATTTTGCCACCGAAGTGGCTAGTTTATTGTGCACCCCATATCCATCCTGTGGACGGTAGCGCGAGAGCATATGGATACACAAAAGGCCTAGGAACTAGGCCCCAAAGGGTTAACAGGAATACATATGGATTTATATCTACATATCTATAGTTCACTTATCTGTTACAAGCAAATTTAGGAAATTTGCTTAGTATATCTGGTATCTTATTTTCATTAATAAGATATCTTGACATGTCACATAGGTTATTATACTGTCTGTCTCTGTATTCCTCAATAAGTGGACAATTAAGCACATAGTGTTCAAGACAGTGACCATATGCCTGATCACATAATTTACATTTAGTTTGATCATCATCTGTGTGTCTCCCAAACTGCCAGAAGTACTTGTAACCAAGCCTAAGCCTGGCCACTACAACATCAGTCAGTCTGTTCACATTGCAAGTTGCTCCATAAACATACTTATCTACGTTCATGTTATCATAGTGGGTTATAGATCTACTCAGGCTTCTAACTGCATTCCTATAACAATCATTTTCATTATTTACTTCTCTCCTAATATTATTCCTAATGCTAGACACAGTTATACCAAAGTTATATTCTACATTCTCCTTCTGGGTACTCTTCTTGGCTAACATATCAACTTTATCATGAAGGAGTAATCCAATGTGTGATGGGATCCATAGCAATTGTACATTAATTCCTTTGTCCCTAATTTTTGAGTATCTATACCTGGCTTCCCCAATGAGCATGTTGTTGGAGTCATTATATGAGTCAAGAGCCTTCAATGATGACATAGAATCAGTAATGATGATAGAGTCAAGCTCAGTGTCATAGGTTAGCTTTAGCGCCATTAGGATTGCAAACAATTCAGTTTGCAGTGTAGACGCCCAGTTGTTAATTCTTATGCCTAACTCAACAAATTTATTATCGTTCTTAACTAGGGAGGTGGCAACAAGAGCAGATGCAGCCCTGCCAGAAGACTCCTGTTTAGATCCATCAGTGTATATAACTTGTGATAACTTATTACTACCGGCTAGGTGAGAAATTTCTTCTTGAGCAGTTGCTCTAACAAGAAATTTAAGGAAGGGATTACTAGCAATGAGCTTTTGAAAGCCATTCAGAAGTAGTGAAATTTATTTACTGTGAGGAATAAAAAAATTCAAATGGATATATGACTAGGACTACTGACAATAATTATTTATTTATTAACACATCGGCCAATTCCCACCAAGGCAGGGTGGCCCAAAGAGAAAAACTTCCATCATCATTCACTCCATCACTGTCTTGCCAGAGGGGTGCTTCACACTACAGTTTATAAAACTGCAACATTAACACCCCCTCCTTCAGAGTGCAGACACTGTACTTCCCATCTCCAAGACATAAATCCGGCCTGCTGATTTCCCCGAATCCCTTCATAAATGTTACTCTGCTCACACTCCAACAGCATGTCAAGTATTAAAAACCATTTGTCTCCATTCACTATCAAATATGCTCATGCATGCTTGCTGGAAGTCCAAGCCCTTCACACACAAAACCTCCTTTACCCCCTTCCTTCAACCTTTCCTAGGCTGACCCCTTCCCTCACCTTCCCTCCACTACAGATTTTTACACTCTTGAAGTCATTCTGTTGCGTTCCATTCTCTCTACATGTTTGAACCACCTCAACAACCCTTCCTCAGCCCTCTGACAACAGTTTTGGCAATCCCACACCTCCTCCTCCTAACTTCCAAACTACAAATTCTCTGCATTATATTCACACCACACATTGCCCTCAGACATGACATCTCCACTTCCTCCAGTCTTCTCCTCACTGCAACATTCATCACAATATGAGACACACTGTAACAAAACCAAGGGGCATTTGACATCACTTCCTATTACAATACTAAGCTAGGGGAGAGCTGAAATGATTAACAAGACAAAATAAATCCCAATTAAACCTTTACCTTAGCATCTGTACCAGTATCCACTGTCCTTTTTACCCTAGCTTGACCTTCTGACCCCAAGCTCCTGCTGCATTAGGATATGAGCTATAATTTGAGTGTTCATTTCCATTGACTTTATAAAGCTTACTGAGCAAAGCATTGTCTACAGTAATGGTCTGTCCCCATGCAAGGTTGTTCTTTACAGTAATTAATAGTAGTATAGATAATGACACTTAAAGCCAAAATAATGTAATGGGAAGTAATAAATAGCAGCAGTGTAATATAATAATGAATTTATAAAATGGCCAAATGTTACAGTACTGTAGTTAGAGTTGATTCAGTGTGAAAAAATACCAATGAAAAATAAAGCAGAAATACTTGAATATTTCATGTGCTTTCACACACATCTTCAGAGGAACAAATTCCTCCAAAGATGTGTATGTCAATGCCACAAGTTTTGTGGCAGTTTTTCATATATGTGGTAATAAACTTTATGATATTTTCCCCATTTACAGCATTTCTTTTCAACACCAGCCATCTCCCATCACGGTAGGGTGCCACGAAAAAGAAGAAATGCTTTCATCATCACTCGCTCCACACCGTCTTGCCAGAGGCACGCCAATACTACAGTTTGGATACCCCTCCAAAGTGCAACATTTCCACCCCTCCAGAGTGCAGGCACTGTACTTCCCACCTCCAAGACTAAGTCTGGGTAACCAGTTTCCCTGGATTCCGTCGTAAATGTTACTAAGCTCACATTCTAACAGCGCATCAAGGCATTACAACCACTTGCTTCCATTCACTCCTATCTAACATACTCACACATATCTATTGGATGTCCTAACCCCTCATATGCAAAACCTTTACCCCCTTCCCTGTCCTGCCTTCTCCACTATAGATTTATATACCCTCCAAGTCATCCTATTTTGCTTCATCCTCTCTAAATGTCCATACCACCTCAACAGCCTTTTTGCAGCCCTCTGGATAATACTTTTAGTACCACCGCACTTTCTAATATCCGAACTTTGAATTCTCTGCATAATATTCATATTACATATTGCCCTCAGATATGACATCTCTGCTGCCTCCAGCCTCCTCCTCGCTACACCATTTAAGTGTTGGTACCACTATTCTCTCATACATTTTCCTCTTTGCCCACAGTATATAAAGTATTTAACATAAAGAAGCATTTGAAAATATACATGAAGAATAAACCAAAGCCTTTAATCATCAAGAGATTATGGTACAACTTTTAATGAGGAATAGCTAGATAGAAAGGCAAAAATACAGCATGAGGAACTGAGAATTATTGTTATATCTAAAATATTAATTGCAAACAAGAATGGATTATCAACTTATTAAAGGAAGAATGACTATAAAAGAGATCCTGATGACCTATGGCCTTGGCAAAGAGTAAACATACTGTTATTTGGGGAAAAATCTGGAATATACAGTAAAATATAGATGTTTAGTAGTTTATAAGAATTATTTTTTATTTTAAAATTAAGGAGAAGTAAAGGGTAAATATTTGATACCATTATTAAAAAAAATATGTACAAGTTACATAGTACAGAATGGTAATTTCATACCTGAAAATTACATATATGGAAACCTTTTCTTAATTACATTGGAATACATGTATTAGGAGTGTATTTATATGTATTTTGTGTATTTATATGTATTTGTCTTAAGTACAGTACATACTACAAAACCTATGCATCTATGAAAGTAGCTATCTAGATAAATTATATTAACCATCTTACCAGTGAACTATACAGAACTTGTGGCATATACAGTATTATACTGGATGCACTTTCCATCAATTCCAGGGCAGTGAAATAAAGCTATTACAATACACTAATACTGTATTTTAGCCACAATAAAGGGCATAACCAGAAAAAAGTAAAATACAGCATGGTAATTCTTTTTAAATGTTTAGATCTCCATCAAGCAAAAAACAGTAAATACAGTACAGTCATTGAACTATTAGTCTGTAATCACTTAAATATCTCTGCCTATCTGGAATGAATTAATTGTTTAATGTCTAAATATTCTGAGCATTATTTTTCTCAGTATATCATTGATCATAAGGTAACACTGACTCTGCCATGTTTCCATAATAAAACCTTCATTTTACTTAATTCGAATAAAATTCCACAAATACATCATAACACAGTACAGTATAGTAATATTGTTAGATGTGATATACGACATTTAAAGGTGATTTTTATATGAGAACTGTTACCATTCCTATGTTTACAGTTTAATATATATTACAATGCCTGAATACATAAAACATTATTAACATAATAATACTGTTCTGTACTTTTTATAAGAATGATGAAATAAAGATTGTCTTTTGGCTGAGAATACATGGTAATTCTTTTTTAAACTTTTTGTTTTTTATTTTAGTGCTTATTAAATGCCAGAGCTCCTCTTTTTTGAAATGATACAAAAAAAAAAAAAAAAAATGGCAATATTTTCTTCACCAAGTCATCTAATTCTACCATACTGGTAATTAACTATTTTAACTTGAATATGCCTTCTTGGGAAATTAAACTGAATTATCTAAGAGGAAGGGAGCAATTACTAAATGTAAAAAGAAGAAAAACTTTACATTAATTCTTTTTTGGATCACCGTGATTCGGAGGGAGACAGCTGTTGTTTTAAAAAAATATGAAATGGGTAGTGATGAACACTGATCAGAAAAAAAAAAGGTACAGTAATTAGAAAAGTTATAGACCTGGAGTACTAGTTTGCCACGAGTACAAAACTGGAGGATTAATTAGGGTAATTTTCTCCAAAATTTATTCTGCTACGGTTTAAGTAGTGTTCATGAATGCAAGCCAAGATTAAAGAATAATGATGAAATGATTTGAGAGCATTATAAAACAAAAACTGAGTGAAACTAAAGTGCCATTGCCAGAATACATAATTACAGAGAAACCCAGGACATTCACAGTAAAAAGAACATTAGTGAGAAATGTGTAGACACTGAAGGATACTGAGGAACTTTGAAACATTTCATGGTATTAGGTATTTGACAAATAGTACCAGTGTAGTCATAATGTGTAGACATAACAATTTGAGTAACTCTACAATATGCAACATGCCCACCTAATTTTCAGAGTGTAGGCAATGTAGTATGTACTTCCAACTTCCAGAACTCATTTCCAACCATGTCTATTGGACAAAACTAATGGGAAACTGCAGAGCAAAAGCTGCTGTTTAGTGGTGCATGAGCCACATCTTACTTTAACTCCTGATATATGTCAAGCATAATTTTGAAGCTGGTCAGATAATGAATTATATACTATAAAAAATACATAAAATAATATTAAGTTGCATGAAATTTTCTGTGATCAGCAGTCTACTCTCAAAAAAAATGCAAGGATATTAATAATCTGTGAAAAATAAACCTGACAATTTATGAAAAATTAACAAATAAAACAAAATTAAAAAGCTATTTTCCTTCATAAATAGTTAATAGTACTAAAAAATTACTTCTTCCACAGATGCTTATATGTACTCAGGTTAAAGTCATCATGAATTTCCTCTTCTATCACCACCTGCAAGGAAAGAGTGAAATTTTTTTAAATAATTCTTCTTTTAAACTTATCGATAATTAACTACTGAATCTATGTAAAACACACTCCAATGGACAGAGAATTTGTCAAACTAATGGGAAGGAAAATACAAATAAATTGATGTGAAGAGTATATGTTTTTTATTTATTTATTTATTTATTTAATAATTTGAACATACAGAGGTACAAAAAAATACAGGTTGCAGAAGATTCTAAAACAAGAGTGTGAAAAGACCAAATTTTTTATTATATTTTATTGGCTGTCTCCCATCAAGGTAAGGTGATCCAAACACTGAAACATATTTACCATCATTCATTCAAACTCTGTCTTGACAAAAATGTGGTGACATCACAATTCAGATGACCCTCAATTGCAGCATCCCCACCCCTCCTTCAGAGTGCAGGCACTGTACTTCCCACCTCCAGGACTCAAGTCTAGCTAACCAGTTTCCTGAATCCATTCATGTTACCTTGCTTACACTCCAACAGCACATCAAGCATTAAAAACCACTTATCTCTACTCGCTCTGATCCTAAATGCTTACACAGCTTGCTGGATGCTCAAGCCCTTAGGACTCAAAACCTCCTTTCCTTCCTTCTGTCCTTGGAACAACTCCTAACTCCCCTTACCTGCATCCCAGATTTATGCATCATTGTCATCATCAGAGAAACTAAGAAATGGTAAAAAAAAAAAAAAAAAAAAAAAAAAAAAAAAAAAAAAAAAAAAAAAAAAAAAAAAAAAGACATACTGTGGAAAATTGCATTTATCTGAATGTAACTAATTATGTACATAACAGTAAATGATAACAAAGATAATTATTATTTATCAGAGTTACATCGACAAGTAGGAATTTGGGACACCTAGGTCACAAAAATGTCCCCCTTCGATACCTACCACTGTCGTATCCACAAGTTGCTCTGGACCTATTAATTATAAATGAAATATACATACACCAGGAATACTGGTAAATATATAAATTTGTGGACTGTATATTAAAAATAGTAAATGGTTATATATATACACAATTACATAACAGAAGGAAAATATATCTTAATATCACTCACCAATTTGACTGGAGATTAATGTGTATCATACTCAGAAAACCTCACTAACTAAATCTATGAAAATAATGCTGGCCAGAATTACACACAAATCTAGAGAGCTTATCTGAGGTTCCTGGAGAGGTCTTGTCCAGTCGCCTGATATCTCAAGTTATGCAGGAATGCATATCCACCAATTTCGCCTCCTATTTGAGAGGTGTCAGCACAATTTTAACCTCTAGAGCACGAAAAATTCTTCCCCATTCACCAAAGTTTCTAATACAAATTCAAAAACCAAGATGGCGAGTGTCTCTACTTTTTTTCGATAACATACTTCTTTTAAAAATACAATATAGGACATCTATTTACCTATAAATTACCGTATTTCCGGAAAATATATACAGTATTTTCCACAGATACAGTATAAGAGAAAAATAAAAAAGTGCTGAAATGTACTGTACTATACACTATATCAGTAATACCATTCTGTAAAAATATTAAATAAATTCTTTAATTTTTTTTTTCAATAAGTCGGCCGTCTCCCACTGAGGCAGGGTGACCCAAAAAGAAAATACTTTCATCATCATTCAACACTTTCACCTCACTCACACATAATCACTGTTTTTGCAGAGGTGCTCAGAACACAACAGTTTAGAAGCATATACGTATAAAGATACACAACATATCCCTCCAAACTGCTAATATCCCAAAACCCCTCCTTTAGAGTGCAGGCATTGTACTTCCCATTTACAGGACTCAAGTCCGGCTATATAAAAATAACCGGTTTCCCTGAATCCCTTCACTAAATATTACCCTGCTCACACTCCAACAGATCGTCAGGTCCCAAATACCATTCGTCTCCATTCGCTCCTATTGAACACGCTCATGCACGCCTGGTGGAAGTCTTTAAATATTAGAAACAATTAACTGACAAATTACAGTGAAAGTAATTCAATATTTTTTAGTTTTAGTTTTCTTTAGTGTAATGAACAGTTAGTACATAGAGCAGCAAACAGATAAAAGTAAACAGACTACATAGCAAAATTGCATCTAGGATCTGCATCTTGGTGATGTTAATTCTACCCCTGGTTCAGATACAATGTGAGGATAAGGATTTAACCATAGCTAATGTGGACAGCTCTCTCGGGGTAGCTATACCTAAATAAACCAGAGCTTCCTGGCAAAATCATGGCATAACCATATCCTTTTGTGATTACATCTTAAAATGTTTACTTCACTGCATAATTATCAACTTCTTGGTGAAAATGGAGTGCAGTAATATTTTCATAAGGATATGAAAACTTCTTTAATACTCATGAAACATGCTTCTGAAAAATAGGTTTTGTCATTATGAAAGTTTAATGTAATGTGTCAAATGTTAATGAGTTTCTTCTCTGACTACTTTCTACTAACTGTAAGACTGTAGCACTTCCAATATTATAAGACAATCATTTTTCATGGTAAGGAAAGGAGGCAGGAATATAAGTTTAGCATACAGATTGCAGTCTTCTCCAATGAGTATGCAGTCTTATGGGGAACTAACCATATATGTATACACCCAACAAATTACCAAACTATCACAGAGATAAACATTATTTTTTATATTTTTTTTATTATCACACTGGCCGATTCCCACCAAGGCAGGGTGGCCCAAAAAAGAAAAACTTTCACCATCATTCACTCCATCACTGTCTTGCGATGGGTGCTTTACACTACTGTTTTTAAACTGAAACATTAACACCACCTCCTCAGAGTGCTGGAACTGTCTTCCCATCGATAAGGACTCAGTCCGGCCCTGACGGTTTCCCTGAAACCCTTCATAATGTTACTTTGCTCAAACTCCTAAGACGTCAAGTATTTAAAAACCAATTTGTCTCCATTCATACCTATCAAACACGCTCAAGCATGCCTGACTGGAAGTCCAAGCCCCGTCGCACACAAAAAACCTCCTTTACCCCCGCACTCCACCTTTCCTTAGGCGACCCCCCCCCGCCTCCTCATACAGATTGATACACTCTTGAAGTCATGTTTCGCTCCATTCTCTCTACATGGCCGATCCACCTCAACAACCTTCCTCAGCCCTCTGGAACAACAGTTTTGGTAATCCCGGCACCTCCTCCTTAAACTTCCTAACTACGAATTATCTGCTTTTATTCACACACACATTGCCCTCAGACATGATCTTCAATGCCTCCAGCCTTCTCCTCCCTGAACATTCATCACCTGGAATTCACACCCATATAAGATGCGTTGGTTAGTTAAAATATACTCTTATACATTCCCTCTTTGCCCAAGGACAGACCTTCTAAGGCACCGATCACCCTTTTCCCTCAACAATTCTATGATTCACCTCATCTTTCATAGACCCATCCTGCTGACAATCCACTCCAAATATATGAATTCATTCACTTCCTCCATACTCTCTCCCTCCAATCTGATATATCCAGATCTTTCATCACCTAATCTTTTTGTTATACTCATAACCTACTCTTTCTCTCATTCACTTTTTATTTTTTTCTTTTGCACACCATACCAAATTCATCCACCAATCTCTGCAAATTCTCTTCAGGAAATCTCCTAGAGCACAGTGTCTCAGCAATCATAAGGGACAACTGAGGGACAACTCCCACTTATGTGGTGTTTCTTTATCTTTTAACTCCACCGCTCTTGCCAAGACCCTCGATTTACTTTCTTACAACCCCATCTATAAATTATATTAAACAATCAAGTTGACATCACCACCATCCTGGTTAAGGCCTACTTTTACTGGGAAATAATTTCCCTCTTTCCTAATACTCTAACTTGATGCCTCACTAACCTCGTAATTAAAAAACTCTTCACTGCTTTCAGTACCTACACTCCTACACCATACACCTGCACATTGCCCCCCTACCACCCTGTCAACGCCATTTCCCAATCCTTTAAATGCCACAAAGTCTCTTCTAGCATGTTCTAACTAATGTTCACTTATATGTTTCACTGTAAACACTGGTCCATCACCCCCTTCCTTTCTAAAGGTCCTCTGGTTTAATCAGCTATCCTACTTCTCCGTCTTTGTCTTTATTCTTTCAATTTAATAACTTACCATACACTTTAAGGTATACTCAACAGACTTATCCCCCTATAATTTTTGCACCTCTATTTTTGTCCCTTTGCCTTTTTACCTAAGGAAACTATGGAATGCTCTCTGCCAATCCTAGGTACCTTACCATCTTCCATGCATTTATTAAATAATTGCACCAACCACCTCCAAAAACCTATATCCCCACCTGCTTTTAACATTTCTATCTTTATACCATCAATCCCGGCTGCCCCTTACCCCTTTCATTTTACCTATGCCTCATGGAACTGCCCCCACAATCACAACTGGCTCTTCCTTCACTCTCAAGATGTTATTCCTCTTGCTTATACCGAAATCACAGCTTCCCTATCTTCATCAACATTTAACAATTCTCAATTTTCCCTACATCTTTCCCCAAATACCTCTATATTCAATTTAATATACTCTCCTCTCCTCATTTTTAACTGACAATCCATTTGTTCTCTAGGCTTCCTTAACTTGTTTAATCTCATCCAAAACTTTTTCTTATTTTCAACAAAATTTGTTGATAAACATCTCACCCACTCTCTCATTTGCTTCTCTTTTTACATTGCTTCACCTCTCACGTAAACCTCTCTCTTTTTCTCCATATACTCTTCCCTACTTGCATCACTTCTTACTTTGTAAAAACTTCTCAATAATGCTAACTTTTTCTCCACATACTACTCTCTTTCATCATCATTCCACCAATTTCACTCTCTTCCCTCCGCACCCACTTTCCGGTAAACACAAACTTCTGCTGAAACACTAAAACAACTACATTTTTAAACCTACCCCATACCTCTTCGACCCATTGCCTATGCTCTCATTAGGCCATCTATCCTCCAATAGCTTGTTTATATC